AAAAAATGGGGCCAATCTGGGGCTTATCAAGTTTCACATGTGCCCTATCATCTTTTAACGAAAATGTGTTAGCAAATAGCGTTTCAGTGAAAATCAAGTTCACTCTTTGAAACCTTATTCATTGTATGGATCAACAAATATGTTCTGAATTTTTTAATCCGGAAATCTCAGTTAATAAAGCCACCATTTGTTTCTCATTTTTCATCCATAAAAATGAAAAATATGATTGTTATCCATCACATCAAACCATCAATTTTAAATTTCTATCTCTTGTGTGGGCCGAATAACGGTTATATTTTTCATTCTCATTCTACAATAATGAGAATCAAACATGCCCAAAGTATTAAGTCATATCACGATTCCTCAGACTGAGGCATTCTTAGCTGATCTCAGGATTAAAGTTGGATGAGACTTCTTGCTGAAGATAAAATGAATAAAATAACCATGATGACCTCCAACACAGACACACCACACGAACACAGAGATAGAGAGGATGTGCCTTTTTAGGTCTTTAAGTGCCAACTAACTTTAGATTCTGATACATTCAAAGTCTTCCTTTGTTTACTGTGGATTGAATAAATCTCCTTTCTGACTAAAAACATATATTACATTCTTCTCTGTTTTTCTCACTGTTACACAGGATGATTTCTTACCCCGGACAACAGTAGCACTGGAAGATGCTTTCAAATCACTTTTCTGGTAAAAAGTTTTAGGTCTTGCCATCTTTCTGCTTTGCCTTTTTATGTTGTTTGGTGAATAATAGAGACATTCGTTCTTAGGCAGAATGTTATTGTTTTTCAAGAGACCACTTACTTATGAAGTGTTCCATTTTTTTCTTTTCGATAGAGTTGCTATAATGGATCATTTTCATGTTAGCTCCTATGAAACTCAATGACAATGTAATTTGAACTTTATAACAATTTTTCTATTTTCCAAAACAATATGTTTGTTATGCATTAGAATATTAATTTTATAACAAAAAAAGTCTTGCATTTAGCCTAAAAAGAAAATTGTCTTTGTCAATCTTGTGTTTGACAAACCTGATCAAATGATAATCATCAATTGACCAGTCATATAACATTTATGCTTCTAAATTTAGATAAGTTAAAATCCATAAAATTCATTCTCTCAAGGCTCTTGGCAAACTCATCATCTCCTGAATATGAGGTTTTGAATACGCATGCACCGACATTTTTTAATTGAGTAATTGTTACTCTCACAATACTAGTTTTCCTTCTCTTGGATAGTTTCCCATGCTTGATGTGCATAATGTGCTTGAAAGATACGTTCACACTAGATGAGAAGATGCTCCAGGATCCAAGGCGCCTGTATGCTCCTGGTCGCCTCTATCACATTATTGTGAGGAAGCCCTTCAGGTATGGAGTGAACAATGTACAATTTGAGAAGTTATGGGGTTGGGGAGACTCCAAAAATAAAAATAAAAATAAAAAGATGATGCTGTAACGAGCACGGATGAGCAATTAGGTCATGGCTACTCCTCCAAGAGATCCTACACCTACGGTATTTTGTTGAAAACGTTTACTACAACTAGCATCTGAAAGACAACAAAATAAGAACTGGTCTGATTATTAGATGCAAAGTTTTAGTGACTCTCTCTAGATTATCACATACTTAAAATAGCTTAACGTGATGCTGAATTTATTTTTTACCAAGTTTATTTGATATGCAGGTTCAAAAAAATTTCACCAGTTGTTAAGACTGCTGTCCCAGTCGATGGACGGTTTGAGCACGTAGTTCTGTCATGCAACTTAACTTCAGATCATGCCATCATTTGGATACTTGAGGAATCTCAAAGAGCATTTGATGTAAGTTCTCAGTTTTCTAGCAGACAACTTTAAATTATTCTTGTTTTAGAAAAAAAGTGACTTCAAATTTGTTCTTGTGGGTATATTCTCATTAGGATGGGAAAGAACTTCCTTGTGCTTTGACTTGTTGAAACTAAACAACACACTAACGATGGACATGTCTTCCCTATTAGCAAGTTCTGTTATAAATTCTCTTTATGCATTTTCCTTCCAACTCTCAATCTCTGTTTTTCGTTTTGAAGATTTGAGAATGAAAGTGCAAACGCGAAACGGCACATTTGTAGTGCAATACGTGTCAATTTGCACTGCTAGTAAGTACAAGAAACATTTGTAGGGACATTGAAAAATAAGTCACTCAATTCTAGGTCACTTAACTCTTCACTCAACGAAAGCTCTTAATGCTTATTTAAGATAAATTTCTCTCTCATTTCCTACGGAACGAAGTTTTATGATTGTTCATAAGCTTCTTTAATACATGATGATCATCCTCGTCTTGGCTTGGTTCTCGTAAGGTTGACGTCAATGGGGCACCGACATGCTGTAGTTTCTTTTCATCTTTCAATAAACGAAATGGAGTGGAGAAGAATGATTCATGCAGCTGACCCAATTTATCTCGAACGCTACTTAGTTTGTTACTATTATTGTTCATAAGCTTCTTAAATATATTTAGCGGTTTATAAATGACAAGTGCAATTTTCTGCCATGGTGTTGAATATTACTTATTTATCTCTAGTACTGACGCTGCTGGAAAGTGAGCGGACTATGTATATGCCGGTAGCACAGAGGATGGAGCGGCAGGCATCGCTTGCCAAAGAACACAAGGTGGAGTATCAAGCAGCAATAGAGAGGGCGATTGCGTTGGATGTTCCCCTTGCATGCTCTCCATCATATGGAACTTTCCAAGAGATGGAGAAAGGAGAAAACTCACCTAGAACACGAGATTTTTCTCTTATATCGTCCGAGAGGCAAGAGAGCTGGGATAATCTGGCTGCGGTCGGATGAGTCGAGGAATTCGAGGCTGGATAAATACTTGCGAATGAGCTCAGAAAATGACATTCATTCTTCTATTGGAAACATACCTTTGTTACTTCACAAGTTAAGTGTTTCTCATCACTGTTGCATGATGGAATACTAGGGAATGGAATTGGCAAAGGTCTCCACGGTCAACCCCCCTCTTGTAGATCGCAATTTCTAAAAGAGTAATGCTAATGTAATGAAAGGTAAATAACTTAATTTTACTTTTCGTTGGCGGTGTAGATTCTAAATAACATTATTCTTTCTAAAAAATAAAAAAATTGGGCCATCACGTTTTTGACCAAACTTTGACGATTAATATAAGCGAAGAATACATAAATCCTGCTTTTACTTGTACACATTTCAAAATTAAGGTTAGATGTTTTAAATTTCAAAAATCAGGTTTTTATTAAGCACTATCACCACCTCAGCACACAAACCACCCAAACCACTACCCATCAGCCCAAACACCCAATAGCATATCCGCCACCAACAGATATGTCGCCAACAACCACCACCTTCCACGCACATCACCTACTGCCATCCACCCAAAATAACCAAGACCACCAATCCGCGACGCCCACAGAGACGAGAGGAGAGAACTGCAACTGCACAATAACCACAGATCGTTGCTGCAGTTAACGGCAGCCCACTACCCCACTCGCACACATAACACACCCAACGCACCCAAACAGTTTCAACACCTCCACGATCGCCGCACCCACCCGACTGCACCGGCCAACGCATCAAACGCATACACTTTCACTATAAACAGATCTGCACCACTCACAAAATAAATTAAAAAAACCAACAGAATGAGTCCAGAACCAGAGGAGAGTGAAGACGGTCGTTGCGGCGGCGGCTGTTGAGTAGAGAGACTATAACGGAGACGAACATCGACGGCAGTGAGGAGGCAAGTGGAGGGACGACGAGTTGGAGTGACAGGGAAGAGTTAGGAGTGACGGCGCAAGAGGGAAGAAATGGGGGAGGGTTTGTTCTAGGGTTCGATTAGATTAATTATATAAAAAAAAAATTTTAAATTTTTTAATTAAAACCTGAATTTTGAAATGTTAAATTTGTAACCTTATTTATGAAGTTGAAAATCTAAAAGTAGGTGTAGGACACTATAAACAGATCTGCACCACTCACAAAATAAATTAAAAAAACCAACAGAATGAGTCCAGAACCAGAGGAGAGTGAAGACGGTCGTTGCGGCGGTGGCGGCGGCTGTTGAGTAGAGAGACTATAACGGAGACGAACATCGGCGACAGTGAGGAGGCAAGTGGAGGGACGACGAGTTGGAGTGACAGGGGAGAGTTAGGAGTGACGGCGCAAGAGGGAAGAAATGGGGGAGGGTTTGTTCTAGGGTTCGATTAGATTAATTATATAAAAAAAAAAATTTAAAATTTTTTAATTAAAACCTGAATTTTGAAATGTTAAATTTGTAACCTTATTTATGAAATTGAAAATCTAAAAGTAGGTGTAGGTGTAATTTCCTCTTAAAATAATTGATTTTATATTGATCCATCTTAAAAATAAATATGCTACTAAGCTCTATTTGATTTAGATAAAAAATCATTTATATATTTTAATACGATCGAATGTGTAATTGAAAAGTTGTAGATCTCTTGAAATATGGGATAAAAGTTAATTTTAACTTTAATTTGAATTTTAATCAGTGCTTAACCAAACAGGGACTACGTATCAATAGTAAGATAAAAAAGTTATTTTCAATATGATTAGTTTTTCCCACTTAACAACTAAATAGTTACTTATCTAAACATATTTGAAATAAAAAGTTATCTAAAAATAAATTTTACTCATATTTAAGCTTGGTCAAAGCTACCTATTTTGGGAACGTCCAGAGAGCCAAAAGTTACCGACTGGAAGTTTGTACTTGAGCATGGAATGCAGGGCAGATAAATTTGAAGCAGACTCTACATTCATTAAATAGAACCTAAAATAAAAATCTATAATTTATTTAATTCCACAGGTTGAATTGAATCCCTCAACAAGTACTGTAGAATTAATCAGCTGATTTGTTACCCTATATTAACAGAATGATAAAAGGATCGACTGTATACTTCATTTCCTTTACAAGTATACCTAAGATGGTTCCCTCTCCGGCCTTACCTCGAATACAAATCGGGAGTTCTGTAACTATGTCTGATACTCGAGTACAGCTTCTCCTGCATTCGACATTGAAAAGTTGCATTACAATTGTCTCATTTCTGCTACGGATGATTTACCAAGCATGCATGTATAAATAATGCCGTAATATATTCCATGCTTAAACTTGGTGGTGAATGATGATGAAAATATAGAAGAGTTACTGAAAATTAGAATTTGCAAAGCTCTTTAGAGATGACACATTCCTCTGATCACATACTGCACAAGATAAAAAAAATAAAATATAGGCAGCATTTTCATTCAACGAGCACAAGGATGTGACGAAGAAGTTCTGAAAATTGCTCCATTGTTAGGATCCCACCAACTTTGAGGTGATTTGGAGTGCATTTGAGTGGATAACAAATATTATTGTGCAATCTAGTTTACTGAAAAGTATGAGAACAAGATTAAACTAAGCACTCCCAATAAATTTTAAGTTGTGCATGCAGACGCGAGTACATATATGATGCATCTTATAAAGGTGAATCTACCAAGAACTTTTGTATAATATTGAACTCCTAACAAATCTTAGATAGATAAGACGACTACTAGTACCTAGGTGCCTTAGAAAGGAAACAACAATAACTTTCAAAAAACTTGTAAAATGAAAATGAAATAGTATTATGATAATTTTACCATGCATTCTCTTGATGAATCGTTCAAATTCAACAAAGTTGTGTCTTTCCAAGAGATGTGGACTGAGCTTTAGATAGGTAAAATCAGAAAAATGCCTGCCATCTGGATCACTCATAGGCTTCGCCTTTTCCAGTAAATAGTTATAACCATCCCGGTCATGGCATAGAAGAGCATTTTCACTAGAAACTGGTATGCAAACATCCCATGCAGCATTCAATACCTGCGATATAAGCTTTTACAATGAGAAAAATTGAAAGCATAGTGTGCATGTTTCCAAACAATTAGCCTGCAAACCACTGATATAACTATGTAAACAAATCAATGGATAGCTGATACAAAATATTCTCTAACTGTAGAAAAGGGTGTTCTTTTTGAAGATCAAGAAGCCACGTACTTGCCAGGCTAATCCCTCGGGCTCAGCCAGTGCCTCAGAGAAGTCCACATGCTGATCTAACATGTTCATTTCAGAACATGTAAAGTTTAGTGCTGCCCCGTGTCTCTTCAACATTGCCATAATAGCAGTATAACCATCTCGATTGCACGGATTATAAAATCCAGCAGTTAATTCAGCAGCGTGGCTAGCTGTCTTGTACCACCAATGAATACCAGAAATCTGCGTAAAATTTAAAGTATTGGTGAGATATGAAAATGGGGTCATTGTTAGTCCATAAAAATTTCAAAGCGATCTATTGATACTGATGCAAAGTTCATTTATTGTACTTTTTGTGCATAATAAACTATCCTAACATCCACATGTATATGTAAACTGATCTCCTTGAATATCCAAATCAAACATATATGACCAGAGAATAATAACGTTCAAATATAATCCATGCCATCTTTCTGTGACTTGTCAAGGTCATGCTTGCCTAACAAAATAGATATGTAAGATAAGCTTCATGTTTGTTATCATCAATACAATACACACTTGAATTTCATTATCATATGAACATTCTAATATATTACCATCAAATGTGTAATGAAGGTTTAAATTTTCTAATTGTGAAATACAGTATAATAAAATATAAGCTAACTGTAGATTCAACAGTCGTGTAAGAGAAGCTTAATCCGTTATTTGATTTTCTATCATCAATACTACACATGTTACATTCCACTATCAAATAGACAGATGGTTACACTTGTAATAAAATATAAGATAACTATAGTACTAATTGAAATATTCTTGTAATAAGAAAATTAATCTTTCACATGAAAAATTGAATTCTGTGGAGCTGGTTCACCTTTGCTGCAATGCAAGTGCCTTCAAATGCTAAATTTGCCAGAGAAAGCACCCGATCGCCATGGTCAACCAAAACCTGAGAGTACCAATTGAGAAAAAACCTGCCGTGATATCCATCATAATCGCCTCCATCACAGAAAAATCCAGTTTCATGCGGCCGTGAATTGTAGGAACCTGCATTATCTGGTCCTCGCCCCCAAAAGGAGTGTCCCCTGATTTCAGCTGCCTTCCGAAGGCTTTTCAACATATACTGATCATAGCACTGTAAAGGACGAAATATATTGATAGATTGTATTGGACAGAACTACGGGTTTAAGGAGCTTGAAGGATATTCCCAGAAGAATTTCCGTAAAATCTTAATATGGAGCTTGTTCAAGCAACTCAACCACGTTTCTTGTATATCTGTTGTGCATGTGTTCTACATATATCGAGACAAGCCGCTTATAAGAGTGCATTCTGTTTAAAGGGGCCGTAATAGTTTGGTAGGGAGTAGGAGAAGGCTGTCATGGGAAAATTTGACACCGCTTAAATTAGCAACGAAGATAATTAAATATGCCATTACCTGGAATTCACCAACACCAGGATATCTCCAACCGTGTTTCACAGGATTGGATGGGTATCTTAGCTCTCCACATGGACCAAGTCCAACAACAACAGTAGAGATAATGTCATCATCAAAGAACTCATCAAATTCAATCCGGAAGCTTCTCATGTAGTCAAAGTAAACCTACACAAGTTTTTCACTATATAAAAACAACAAATCCAAATCTAGAACTCCTTAAATAAAACTGACACATCAAGATGTGTATAATTGTGTGAAAGTGAAAAATAAAAATTCCTCGAAAACTGAATGGAAAATAGACTTTGAAATAGCTGAGTCTACCATCCAGTAGGGGAAAAGCATTGCAGCTTTTTCTTTCACATGGCGAGGGAAGGGAAAAATTAATCTTATAGTCACAATAGCCAGAGTGAAGCTTAGATTCCAAATTGAGTTCATACGGATAGCTAAAAAACAGATTAAGAATATCAGAGAGCAAACACAGAAAAATTAGATGCCCTCAAATCCTAAGAGAAATTGCCTTCAGCCTATAGAAGAAATGTTGGCAGACTTGGCATAGAACTTATTTGTTCAAGGCAACTTCACTTTTTCACAACCCAAAAAACCCAAGAGATGAAGAAGAAAAACAATATTATACAGTTAAAACTGTGGTAACTTGAAGGTGTTCTGAGAATGCAAAAAATTAACAGTGACATCATGTTTAAATTTTCTTGATGTTGAATCAGATACCTCTATGGCAGTCCGGCCTCTCAAAACCCTTTCCTTGTCAACTCCCCATGAAAGACATTCTGGGTTTCGTCTTCCCACTCTGTCAGTGAAAAATATGTCAGGATTGCTGCGACCAATTTCAGCCACCCAGTGAGGCAGGGGAATACAAACATCGTCGCCAACATTACCGCCACATTCATGAAAGGACATCACAACCTGATTCCAATTAAAACTTCACAAGTTTTAATAAAATTCTAAAGAGAAACATATAAGCAACAACAGTTATTTCTTTTGCATTCAAGTCATCAACCTATTTATGCCTTACGAAAAGCTTTTCACCTTTCTAAATATATCAGCCATCATACTCATAAATGAATATGATAAGATTCATTAAGCACTTGTATCCATTAAACTCGCTCCTCTCTGCACCTTGAAACATGGATAAGATGACGTGCTATAGACAAAAGCAAAAGAACTGAAGACATGGCATCGACAAAGTAATACCTCGTAAAACTTATGTTTTCCCTTTAAGAGGGAAAATCAGTTTCTCTAAGATTCTCAGAAGCCAGAACCCTGTCAAATGTCCACCCGAGACTCGCAAAGAGAAGAAACAAAATTGAAGGCAAGAGATGTAGTAAATCTTATGCAGAACTTACCTGTAACTTCATTTTAAGCTGCCGCACGATTTGAAACAACCTCCTGTATCCATTCCAATTGTACTCCTGTGGAGCATGCGCTTCTACTATACCCCACCAGCAATCAACCATAACACCATCAATGTTAATTGATTTCAAGACTTTAAGTTGTTTCACTAAACCGTCGGGATCAACAAGCTCACACTTCATATCAATCACGCCCAACTGCCACCAAAAGGATTGGGAGTGCATTAGAATGACAAATTATGATAGAATTAGGAAACTACTTAATTTTTTCCACAATAACAGAGGAGAAAATTGCTCTGATGATGCCAAATGCTAGCCAACAAGTACACACAAGAACATAAAGAAAATAAAACCCCACATGGAAAAATAAGAGTACTCATAAAGCTCACAGGCAGCATAACATAAACAGGAACATATGGTGTGCCCGCGAAATCACGCTGCTGCACCTTTCCAGAAACGTCCATAACCTACAAAAATCATTTAAACGCATGGGAAAATATTAGATATGCATTGAGGAAAAAATGAATGCAGATTCAGGCACAAGAAGATCCAAATACCATAGACAGTTTGATCAAAATGCGGCATAAGACTTACATAAGCAAATTTACAGGATAAAAGCATAAAGTAGTGGTCTTTTTCCTTTTTTTCTTTTTTCTTTTGTTATACATTTGAAGATTGCTTCTGAAACATTGCACAGTTTCATGTGCAACTTACTGCAACTAAGCAATGATCATAATAAAGAGAATCAACCATCTCACCTGCCTATTTTGGACTGAATCTATGGAACCTCCGAGAGGAGGATCACTCTGCATGCCTCCTCCGTCACCCATCATAGCTGAACTCTGAGATCGAGCACTGGAGGACACATCATAAGGAGATGAAACAATACTGCCTTTCATGTGGCTGGCATTATAATTGACTGTACTCTGATAACCGGGTGAAATGCCTCTTAAGGAAGTAGGTGATGTGTGTTCTGCCGGCATATGTGGAGATGACGTCACCACTGTAGGAGATGTACCTCCTGCATGTCTCGTGCCCTGCACCTATGGAGATAAGTTGTTTACTGTTTGTGATCCCTAATAATATTCACATCTACAAAAATTATGCATGGTTGCATTGGTGAGTACCTGTGATCTGGAAGGGAAGGTGGTTCCATCAGGAAGAACAACCCAACCAGCTTCCCTTGCCAAAGCAGCAATGACATCATTGATGTCAGCCCTGACTCTAAGATTATAGTTCCCATGCCTCCGAAGTCCAGCCAAAATTTTTGCAGTTATAGCTCTACGTTGTCGCTCCCGCAGCTTTGTTCTCTCCTTCTCTTCTTGTGGCCTACACCTCCTAGATCCTCCTCCTTGTGGAGTTGGCTGCTCTTGAAATTGGTTGTGCTGCATAAACCTATTACTACTGCTTGTGGATACGATACCCAAATCACCACCAACCATATCAAAAGTTGCCATGTTCTTCTCTTCATCATCATCGTCATCATCTTCCTCTTTCACATCCATCCCAGTTTCATCATCATCATCATCTTCACTCATTCCGAATCTCTGCATCTCTGCTGCCATAACTTTTCCTAGTATTCTCCTTTATCTTGTTTATCTTCTCTTCTAAGCATAAATCTCAAATTTACGACTCCTGATTAAAGAGACATAGCCCATATCCCCAATATCATGTATAATCATCATTCTTTAGATAGTAACTGCATGTGTTTACATGTACAGGTAGTCCAACCGGGTATCTCAAAATTATCTGACACTAAGTATAATTGAGTGAATATCATAAAGGGTCAAGCTTTATACATATAAAGATGATCCTTGGCAATATACGGATAAGGAAATAGGGACGTACATTATTTAAGCGATTTGTTTGACATGAGGCATTTGACAGCTATCTGTATTTCTGCTATTCTTATGACCACATGTGTCCAAAGATACCTCGAGACATGTATCATTTACCTTCATGTGCTAAAAGCCTAAAACAATTAAGTAAATAAACGTAAGTATCTCACTTGATTACAGAGTAAAAGGACTGGAATTTCCAATTCAAGTCATTACACTGGCTTAACTGTTGTACGTGCTTTTTTCATCTTTTTCCAGGTTAAATCAATTTCAATTAAATGAAACTAGTGGAATAGCTAAAATAACCAAACAACAAAACATCGACGAAAAAACGATTAGTTCTTGTATTTTTTTTCTCCCACTAAATTAAACTCTATTAGCCACTAGTAAAAAAGTTAGAATCTTCATAAAATCAGCTTCGACGACAGCTCAATAATGCTTAAAATAACTTACTACGTTTTCGTCACGAACCCCGTTGAGAAATATCACATTCCTCGCGTTCAGATCTCAACGGAGGAATAGAAAGCGGATATCTCCGTCGAGGTCCGGTTCCCAAAACGAAGATTAAAAAGGATTAACACTAACTAAATTTTCCGGCGGAGATCCAGCGGCCGAGAGAGAAAAGGGACGGAGGTGTTACACGAGGGAAGCGTGTGTGGGTAGCGACCGGCACGCGTTCGGTCCTTTATCTTCGTGCGTGCGATTCACACGCGTAATGCGTGCCTGGTTAGCCCATCTCATGTGAATAGGTTTGGGTGGGACCATTGAATTGGGTTTATTATTGTTCTATATTTTTGACCAGTTAGCAGCATAATTTTATGATCCCCATAATTCAGGGTTGCTCAAGAAATTTGTTAAGTTAGTTCTTCTGAAAATTTTATTTACGACACTCGATTTATAAATTTGTTTTTTGGTTGCTTAATTTTAGTTTGTTTTAATTCGATTCCTTAATTTATTTTCTTAATCGATTACTAAACATGCATAATCTGATATGAACTTTTTAACTAATAAAATTTCAATATAAATTACAAATTCTATGTAACCCACAAATTTTATCAACTTTCCAATTGCATCGTTCATTAACTTTTTCAAAAGTTATTGAAACGCTTTGTAATCACATTTTTTTTTACTAAAACTGAACCAGAACGACACTAAATCATAAAAAATATGAATCTCATGCTCTTGTTTATTTTGAAATATAGAAATCAACGTGAGATTTCCCAAGTCCTGCATTTTTATGTCATAGAAGATTCTAATATTACAATTGAAATCACAATAATCATAGTTTTGACTAATAATCGGAAAATAATAGCTAGTCTTTCCAACTTCTTGGTGTTGCATTTTCGTCTTTTGACATTCAAAACGGAGCATTTTAGTATGTATATTTAACCTTTGTGATATTCATGGTTCTATCCAAATTACCATTAAACAGTACACGAATAAGGTAAATTTCATGACTACATTTGTGGTCATTGAATTTTTAGTGAAATCTCAATTGGGTCACTAAACTTCAATATATCTCAATTAAGTCACTAAACTTCAATATAGTTTCAAATTGGTCAATATATTTCACTCGTTACATTCAAAATGGAGCATTGTATACAGATATTGGGCAATGTATAACTTGATGTAGTCACTAAATAGATTACAAAAATGCTAACTTACTTTGGAAGCATTCGAGATAGCAAAGAGATCAATCATGAGACGGGTTCCCTTCCCTTGCCGGAAAATCTGGCAAAGCTTTTTATAATGAGACGGGGTTCCTTTCCCTTAGATTCGTGAGATTTCCAGCACTTCCACAGAGCTTTCAATCTTTCCATATTCATCCTACGGTAAAAAAAAGTTGAATCACCTTGGACATCAGTGTCACCTTCGATTCCTCTTTTATTGCATGCTCATGTAACGACGACAATTTTCTCATTGCTTCTCATATTCTGTCATAGATTTCCAGTTACCTGTTGTCAGCTAAATTTTAAGTATCCTCGTTTTGACACAATTCGTACAAGTCTGAAATGGCTTCCCCTGTGTCACATTATGAAGCAAATTACCTCAGTTAAATTACCGCAATTCAATAAAGGACAAGACACAGCAAAATAATTAAAATCAGTTGTAAAGACTATAGTAGGGTATAGTAGGGTATTATTCACATCAGCACAGCTCTGACAGGGATTTACCGTGCATTCTTCGTACAAAACGTTCAAACTCAATGAAGTTGCATCTCTCCATGAGGTCCGGACTGAGCCTAAGGTATGTAAAGGCCGATAAATGTCTTCCATCCGGATCATTGAAAGGCTTGGCATTTTCTAGTATCTTGTTATATCCTTCTCTATCATAAGAAGGAAGGGCATTCTCGCTTGCGACAGGTATGCTAACATCCCATGCAGCATTCAGCACCTAACACATTTGCACAAATATTTTCAACGATCCAACCTCCCTCCCAAAGTTCATCTTTTAGTGATATTGTAATTGTATGGAGTAGTCATCCACTCTTCTTTGTTTGGCAATGAAAACGTTTGGTCTTTAAGCAAGAACAAAGTGATTGTTTATAACCCTGGCTGAAGTGCTTTTAAGTTTGGTCTTTAAGCGAGAACAAAGTGATTGTTTATCACCCTAGGCTGAAGTGCTTTTATTTTTTATTATAGTGTACAAAGACGTGTACTAGAATGCATACCTGCCAAACTAACCCCTCAGGATCTGCTAATGCCTCTGGAAAGTCCTCATACTGATCTAGTGTACGCAACTCAACACAAGTAAAGTTTAGAGCAGCCTCGTGCTTTTTCAACATTGATGCAATTGGAGCATAGCCATCACGATTGCAAGGATTATAGAAGCCTGCAGTTAACTCAGCAGCATGGCTTGCTGTCTTGTACCACCAGTGGATACCTGATAACTGTTCCCGCATGAAAATATATCAAGCGAAAACTATAGTAAAGAAGAAACAATATTTCACTTCAAACTTCATTGTGTCCAAGATAATGACTTTTGCTGAACAAACATGAATCTGAAGAGTTGACTCACCTTAGCAGCAATTGGAGTACCTTCAAAGGCCAAATTTGCTAGGGCAAGTACCCGATCCCCGTGATCAACTAGAACCCGAGAGTACCAGTTTAAGAAAAATCTTCCATAATAGCTATCATAGTCACCTCCATCACAAAAGAACCTTGTTTCGTGTGGTTTGTCATTATAGGAACCTGCATTATTGGGTACTCTAGCCCAAAAGGAGTGGCCCCTAACTTCTGCTGCCTTCTCCAAGCTCTTCATCAAGTATTTATCATAGCACTATGTGATAGAAAAAAAGAGCATGGTTTCCATAAATGATTGTAAATTCCGAGGTCAGTGAATACATTATTAACAGAGTTAGAGCTTGTTNTTAATAGCTTTAGAGCTTATTTGGTAGAGATTAAAATCGGATTAAAATTGAAAAACTAGCCGTTATTGTTGACTTTTATTAGACGAGTGGGACCCAATAACGACTATATTTTCAATTTTAATTGGATTTTAATTGCTACCAAACAAACTCTTAGAAGATTATGCTCAAAATTGATAACTCATAAATATTTCAGAATATAAACAAATTTAGATTCTAAAGAAACAACTATAAGATCAGAAACGTACACTACCTCTGGCTGAAAAATAGAGTCAATGCATAATATAAGGTTACCTGGAATTCACCAATGCCAGGATATCTCCAACCATGTTTAGCAGGATAAGATGGATATCGTAACTCCCCACATGGACCCAGCCCAATTTCAATCTCAGAAATAACACCATCCTCAAAGAACTCATCAAATTCTACACGAAAGCTTCTCATGTAGTCAAAGTAAACCTACATTAAATTAACAGAAATTAATACACAAAGATTAAAAGTTTTAAAACAAAAATAAAAGCATTTAAAAAAAATTCATGGAAAAATTCAATCTAAAACTTTCAAGAGATAATTGACAACCTTTATGCATAAATGTGAAATGTATAGCCAAGTGAAAAGTAGATGACATTGCAGGGCGTGTTCGACAAGAAACTAACACCATGTCTTTATTAAATCTAATTAAAATCTTAAGTCAAAGTCAACAATTAATTTTAACCATACATTTTATGGGACCCACAACTTTTCAACCACATAATTCATCAACTTCTATCAAAATTTACTTAAAATCTGATTTTAATGTCTACCAAACAAGGCTAAGAAGAAATCAGCCTTGGGAGGTTAACACAATCAGTAACAATAAACTCCAAGAACACATAAAAATGAGTCAACCCAAACAGGAAGATGATTCACCCAAAATGAAATAAAATTGATCATTATTAACAAGTTAAGGTCAAAAGTATAATAGAATGGTATACCTCAACGGCAGTTCGGCCTCTTAGAACCCGTTCCTTGTCGATTCCCCAAGTAAGGCATTCATGGTTTCTTCTTCCCTCTCTATCTGTGAAGAAAATGTCGGGATTTTTATGGCCAATTTCTATGATCCATTGTGGAAGGGGTATATGTACGTCATCACCTACATTTGCTCCGCACTTATGGAAAGACATAACTACCTGTGGGGAAAAGGAAATTCCGAGTAGTGTAATATATAATTTTGTTTTAGAGTGGGTATTGCATTATATAGTTAAAGCAACTGATTCAGATCTGTGTGGAGTTCCGAAAATGTATCAATTTTATTAATTTCACAAGGTGTCCCTACAACTCACCTGAAGTTTGAGCTTTAGGTCACGAACCATTTGAAAAAGCCTCTTGTAACCACTCCAGTTGTATTGCTGAGGGACATTTGCTTCTACTATTCCCCACCAGCAATCAACCATAACTCCGTCAACATTAACTGACTTCAGCGTCCGCAGCTGGTTCATCAGCTCATCAGGATAAACCAGCTCACACTCCATATTGATGGTTCCTAGCTGCATTCCAGAGAAAATGTTAGAAAACATTGAATCTCAGTTTCTAGATCATAATATCATTGTATAGATGACGCGGAAAGAATAAAGGAACGAATTGCAAAATGGCATTTACAAAAAGTTTTAGAAAAATAAGGATAAATTAGAAAACATAAACGTTAGTCTTAAAATTTTAGATTGATTTAGAAAAACCAATTTTCTTATTCATAGTGCAATCACGCGGACATTTGAATTCTATTGACTAATTTCCCCCTTGAATAATAATTTTTTAAAGTGTGACGAACTAATGATATTTTTCATTTCAATTTCAGAATTAAGCTATTTCTGGACATCTTTAAAATGGGCAGAGCAATAAGGGAGGAAGCACTAATAAGAACAAACTAAAGGTGTCATTAAGAAGAAAAGATGTAACTCACAGGTAGCATCACATATACAGGAACGTAAGGGGTGTCAGTAAAATCTCTTTCCTGCAATTTTGGGGGAACGTTGGAAACCTACAAGAAGATCAAAAGTCATGCAGATGTTTAGATGATTAAATATCTACAGATAGTGATGTGATCATATTAATTTTGGATGGGACAAAGGAAAGGGTATAATCAATAAACACCCATAGAATTATTTATCTGTAAAATTACACTCCTTGCGTGACATCAAGAAAAACTTTGGCCTCAATATATCATAGCCTTGTTAAGTATCGCATAACAGCATTGCCTGGTAATGGATGCAAAAGTTCTTGCGTTGCTTGTGATGGTTGAATCAACTCATCTAAAAACTTAAGTTGTTGGAATGGGATACATTTATCATTTAATATAGACTTCAGCACATCTGCCCATTTCATTTTCTCATCAAATGACCTGTACATGCATATTTTTTGTGGATGGTTAACAAGAGACTTGAACTCAAAACCTACTTCATAAATGCGTGACAAAGAAAGTTGAATTGAGCACCCACTCAGGTACCATGTTGGGGAATGCACAAGACTAATTTAAATAAATAACTTTGAGCCCTCTCTAAGCTTGAACGTCTAAATGAGGTGGTTGAACGGTGATTACCTTATTCTCACTCAATTCCACAACACGAAGGCTTTAACAGATGCATTTTTCCAAATTGCCACCCTCTTAGTAACCAATCACCCCTGAATTCAAGGAACAATCTTCGTTTGTGCTCGACAAGTTATGATTCTATTAAATTTTACATTTTTCCAACGTTTTCAAAATTTCATATTCTCTCAGCATCTTAATCTAAAACTATTCACAAAAGAAGTTTAATTTGCAGAAGCTGCAGAATTACTGCATAAATGACTTCTCATCTAATGCAAAAATTAAGAAAATCGTAGCAAAAATTTCACTAGATAAAACATAATTATACAATAAAAAAATTGCATGCATATGATAAAGGCGTTCATATAATTGAAAATGGAAAAATGGAAACCTGCTTGTTATCTGAAGAATCACCAGTTAAATCTTCACTTAGCAGAGAATCATCCTCGAATCTCTCTCCTGCGTCTCTAACCATATCCGAAGTATATATCCGAGTCCGGCATCTAGAATTATTCAAGATGCCCCTCAATCTGCACTGGCAGTGCTTAATTAACGGCTGGTTACAATAATTAAGTCTCGCAGGAAAGAAATTCCGGCATAGTACAGCCGGTGCCGAAAGTGAAGAAGCAAAATTAAAACTACACTGTGGCATCAAGCACTGGAACTCGACTGACGTAAAAATCACCATCTCAACTCTCTCACTATCTCTATCTCTCACTCACTTATCCAAGATTGTTGTTCACATTCACATGTATATATAGACCCATTCGTGTATCAGTGCGTGAATTTTTGTGAGGGAGACGACAATGGCGGGGTAAGAAATCCGTGAAAGTGGATTGGTTGAGGGATCCGATAAATCTGGTTGAGTCACGGCTCAGCAAAGGTCGAGAATATTTTACGAAATACAAATTTAAAAAAAACACTTATATATTTTTAAAAATTAAATTAAATAATAAAACAAGGGAAAAATACATAAATCAGCCATTTACTTTTATCCATTTCAAAAATACCAAAACATGTTTTAAATTTCAAAAATCAGATTTCTTTAAATTTTTAATTATGAAATAATAATTATTAAATTAATTTATTATTAATATTTAATTCTACTATAAAATAATTAACCCACCCCCATCCCCATCACCCCTACAACTCCGGGGTTATTCCGGCGACCGTTCCAATCACTACTCTTCTCCGGCGATCGTTCCGACGACTGATCTGATTCCGACGAATATGTTAAAGTCACAAATTTATACAATTTGGTCACAATTCAAAATTTTTTAGGTCACAATTCAAAATTTTCATATGTCATAATTTGTTTATTAGTCACAACTTAGAAATTTAAAAGTCACAATTTGTTCATCGGTCACAGATCTCAAAATTTATAAGTCACAATATTTATTTAGATCACAATTTATCAATTTATTGATCACAATTAATAATTTTTAGGTCACAAATTAATAATTTTTAGATCACAAAGCATTTATTGGTCACAGATTATCTAATTCATTGGTCACATATTGTTTACTGATCACAAATTAAACAAATTGTTGGTCACATACAACCTAATCATTTGTGACCACCCCCAAATCATTTGTGATCACCACTTCACCACTGCCTCCATCAGCGGCTCGACCACCGTCGTCACCCAGTAGCCAAACTACACCCAATGGACCACTGACGCCACACCACCAACACTAAAACAAAGAACCACTAACGCCACTACCAACAACAACAAAAACCACAGTCTCAGCACCAAATGGAAATTGTCAGTAGGCGATTTTGACGATCCCAAAAACCCTAACTACACCAAAACTCGGAGCAACAACAAAATCGCCACCAAATCAGCCAAAACCACCTTAGATCTACCATAGCCAACAAAAAAAATGTAGATCTGCACTCATACTGTATACCTTCGCAGCAGAGCACTCACACCGGACTGCACCGACGACCATAACAGAAAAAAAAGAATGCAGATCGCACGCACAAACACCACTACACGCACCGCCTTTCCTCCAACACCTGCTACCAATGCTGGTCCATCACCACCTATGCCTCCTCGGTGGCCTACACCAACACAGCCTCTAAATCCGAGAGAGATGGGGGTGGAGGCGATGGGTGCAGAGACGGCGACGGGTGGGGCAGCGATGGGTGGAAAGAGTGGAAAGAGGCCAGAGATGGTAGATATGGGTGAAAGTGTCGGTTTCTTCACGGGCGACGGAAGCGATCTGTACTCTGCCTATGCCTCCTCAGTGTCCTCCACCAACACCCCCTCTAAAGTGTAGAGAGAGAGAGAGAGAGAGAGAGTAGAAATGGGTGAGAGTGTCGATTTCTTCATATTATATTAGAGTTTGATTAGATATAATTATATAAAGATAAAATAAAAAATGTTTTTAAATTTTTAATAAAAATCTGAATTTTGAAATGTTAAACTTGTGACCTTATTTATGAAATTGGAAATCTAATTGTAGGTCTAGGTGTAATTTCCTCATAAAACAATTGCCTTC